TATATATATATATATATTTGTCACAATATCTTGACCAAAATTTTGATTATGCCGAGCATTAAAGTTCTTAGATATATTTTAAAATAAATATAATATATACCTAATTAATATTATATAAATTTAAAATATATCTTCAACCTCATTTTAATTTATTTTTTAATCTGAAAATTATGATAAAAAAATTTTCCTTCTAAATATACTCCTAATGTTCAAGTTATTTACATATTTTAAAATAAATATAATTTATACCTAATTAATATTATATAAATTTAAAATATATCTTCAACCTCATTTTAATTTATTTTTTAATCTGAAAATTATGATAAAAAAATTTTCCTTCTAAATATACTCCTAATGTTCAAGTTATTTACATGATTAGCTTCAAATTATATACGCTTATTTCTCCACCCGTCCATTATTTCTTGTTGGCCTTCCGCACCACCTTGTAGCTAGCTCGAACAAGCCCTAGCGCCGCTTCAGAGAAACCCTATAATCTGGTACGCGCCTACTTCCGCCAGCCCCTTCTTCTCCTCCCGCGCCGATCGAAGGGCTCCTCCAGCTCTATCTACGCGCTTGATTTTGCTTCTTCCTTACGCTTCGCCGGCCGCCGCTGATTGCTCCTTCGTTTAGCTACGAAAACTATCAAGTATTCACGGCTACGGCAGCCTACAAACGGCCTCCTCCACTCCTAACTGAAGTTTTCTTCAGCCATTCCTCTGATTTCCACGTCGGTCACAGCACTCGAGCTTCATCATTCACCAACAGCAGGTATAGAAAGACCTTCTACCGGTACCGGTACCAAGGTTACAGCTTTCTGACATTCCATTCTATTATGTTAGGATAAATCGATATTTGTGATAAATTTGATTGTAAAAATTAGCATTGAATTGAGTGGTCCATTAAATTAATTTTTTAAGCATATGATCTTGAATTGATTTGTTTTCTATCAATATACTAAAAGATGTTTCAAACAAATTCCTAAGTGGGTGAAAAGATAAGCCTTCCTCAGATGATAGTTAAAGGACCTCGGAGCAACCACAGAAGCTAGCTCCTAACTTCTTGGATGTCTAAATTGGCTAAAACTCTTAGGAGGGAGAAATTATTCTGTGCAGAGTCCGGATGGAAAAAATCGTTCGGATATGTGAGTGAACACAATGTATATCAAATCAATGTAGACTCTATATGTACACAGTGTGTACACTGATAGTCCGGACGGACGGTTTAAGGAGAAGACTTTTTGGTACCCCGAAGGAGTTGATGCTTGTACATAGCTTCTAAATGGACCTATTCAGTTCACAAAAGCTCATATAGACTATGTTGAAGTTATGCAGCCTACTTTGTCTTATCGGTTAGGAGTTTAGGTTTTCAAACAATAGTTTTTGGATTCGAAGCGTTGCATGTGTTAATGTGTGAGTTTGCGATTAAATTCATTCAAAGTTTCAGAAAAAATTATAGGCTGCCTATAATAAATTAAATCAACTCATAACAAATCCGAGTAGGACATATCTTCAAATCATTTTAGGCCGATTTATATTAAATGTTCAATTTTCTTTATGCGAATCATTTTATTAAAATGTTTATCTTATTTTGGATAATAATATATTTAGATTTGTCATAGTTATTGGGATTGAATAAGATTATATTTGTATTTCAATATTTCATCTTATCCTTATAATCTTATATCTATGAATAGGGAGCCTCTAAGCCTATCAGCCCCTTCTGAATCAGAAATGTTCATGTTTTGTGACTATGAACTATTCAACCTCCTTATAATCTGCCAATGAATGAGTTACTATAGCATTGAAAAGAGATTTTCTAGGAAGCTATTGGCTTTTATTAGCATACCTAAAAGGAGGCATCACATGATTGCCTATCAAATTTCTTGGATGTTAGCTAAGTTACTTTCCTAAAGTTGGGATTCAAAACCAAAGGCATTGCCCTTTTTTAAAATGAATTCAACATAAAGCCTCATATCAATTAAGCTTTCTGATAATCATGGCACAAAGCCCTACGTCCTTAGCAAATTAAACCAACAAGATAAACTTGGGACGACGACAACAACAACATCAAACATTTATCTCACTATATGGGGTCAGCTACATGAATTCTTTTTCTCCGTTGTGTCATGTTAAAAGTTAAATTCTTATTTAAATCTAATAAAGAAAGGTCTTTTCTAATATTTTCTAACCAAGTCTTTTTAGATCTACCTCTAACCTTCTTAACAAAAGTCAAATCTAATGCATCTACTTTCCTAATCGGGTCATCGGAAGGCCGCCGTTTTATGGATGCCTCCTTAAAAGTTCAGGGTGCGTTAGATAGTCGACTGCAAACGTAAAATTTGTCGAATAATCATGACAAGATAAACTTGGGACAAGGAAACTAAAACAATTTGATCAATTAATTAATCGTACTTTCATAATTCAACCCAAATGAAAATTTCCACATAAGAAAAAAAAAAAAAAACTCTAGAGCGCATGCAATTTCCTTAGTCAAAAGTGCTCCATCTACAAAAGAAATAATTAATTAGAAAACTTATGAGACCCCTAATAAAAATCATAGAGAAATCAAGAGCTTAATCATCCCAATTTGAGTTGGCTCACACTTGACTCAACCCACATGTCACCATGGCCACAAAGAAGAGAGAGCATGAGCATAGTTGCCATATGTTCATGCTCATAAACCTCTATAAAACAATCACACACAAAAAAGCATCAAGAAAGGGATAATCATTGAATAGAAAACATGTAAGAGACCGAGGCTTTGTTTGTGACGACTTTCCTACTGATTCTTAAAACAACTTTCGTACAAAATTTTTAATTTTTACATTAAAAACTACTTTAAGAAGCAGTAAGAAAGCCGTCACAAACTATTGTACTAAAAAATTACTTTAATAAGCAGTAAGAAAGCCGTCCCAAACCAAGCCTGAGACACTACATAAGAAAAGCATTGCTTTGGCTACTATAACATAATAATTCTTGAGACAACAAGCAGAGATATGGTTCAACAAATCATACAGATCATGATCTAATGCATACCATGGAACATTTTATCTACTCTACTCAGAATGTTCTCCTCAATCAATTTATTCTCACACATGCTTCAGTATTTCTACTCTCCTTTGTCTCACATTAAGTAGATCAAGATCAGATATTGGGGCCAGCAGCTAGAATTTCTTCTGTCAGCTTGTTATCCGACCCAATTTTGTATTTCGAAAACACCTCAAAATTTTGTTTGAACAAACCAGCCAGCTTCAACAGAGTTTCCTTGTAGACTTTCTTGTTCTCCCACTGCATTTACATTCCAATAAAATAGAGTCAGCTAATCAAATCTCTGAATCTATTTGATCTACGCCACAAAAAGAGACATCAAATTATGGTTGTGAATTTATAATTAAGGCTTCGTTTGCGACGGCTTTCTTACTGCTTCTTAAAGTAGTTTTTTAATTGTAGAAATATGTTTTAATAAGCAGTAAGAAAGCCATCTCAAACGAAGCCTAATTTTGATTTGAGATCAATTTATTTCCACTAATCAATATCAGAAAATAATAAAAAGTCAAGTTAGGTTGGGCTTGGATCAAGGTAAACTAGCTTTTATATATATAGACTTTAAAAAAAAATGGCAAAATGGCTTACGGCATTCATAGGATTGAGGATCTCTGAAGGCACTCCTTCGACCACAGTAGGAATCTCAAGCCCAAAGACCTCAGTTTTGGTGTACTCGGTATTCAAAAGGACACCAGAATGGATAGCATTGATGATATTTCGAGTGTAGGGCAATTTGATGCGGCTCCCAACTCCATACCTTAATGAAAAATCAAACCAAATTAGTCTTTTTTTTTTTCCTGCGGGGCAATTAAGAACTGTGGCTTTGTTTGAGGCAGTTTTTTTATTGCTTCTTGAAGCAAATTTTTAGTACAAAATTTTTAGTTTTTGTATTAAAAAACTAATTTAAGAAACAATAAGCAATCCATCCCAAACAAAGCCTGTATCTACTTGATATAAAGTAGAAACGAGAATACCTTCCACCGCACCAGCCGGTGTTGACAAGCCACCCGGTTGCACCGTACTTTTTCATTTTCTCAGCCAACATGGCAGCATATTTGGTTGGATGGAGCATGATGAAGGCTGCACCAAAGCAAGCAGAGAAGGTGGCCTGTGGCTCCTTGATGCCATCCTCTGTCCCAGCCACCAAAGCAGTGTAGCCTGTGATGAAGTGGTACATTGTTTGCGCCATGGTTAGCTTGCTCACAGGAGGAAGTACCCCGAAAGCATCGCAAGCCAAGAGTATCACATTTTTGGGATGTGGGCCCACACAAGGTATCTTCGCGTTTGGAATGTACTCAATAGGGTAGGAAGCTCGAGTGTTCTCTGTGTAAAAAGAAACCAGAAGTAATACCAAATATATCACTCATATTTCTTTCCTACCACTCATATATTTCATTTCTAACACTCATATTTGATATGAAAATGAACTATGGGTGGTATATATGTAACATTAAAGTTTTATGTGTTAAATATATAAATAGGATAATATAGGATGGTATGTATGTAAATCTCCCTAAATAATTTCATCTAACTTCCTATTTCAACTTCTTTATGGGCGGTAAAAAGTTTACCTGTCACTGATTTATCACTATAGTCTACTTCGCGGGTGTGCTCATCAAAGACAACATTCTCCAACACTGTCATCATATTTACAATCAGTGAACCATAGAAAGCAATCATCCTACACAAATGAGTCAAAAGTATAGGAAAGAATCATCTCTACCGGCGCCGAACTTAATGGCATTGAAGATATCGGGTTCCTTCTCGTGCGAAAGATCGATGCATTTGGCATAGCAACCACCCTCAATGTTGGAGACACCATTATCACTCCAGCAATGCTCATCATCACCAATGAGCAACCTGTTGTGGTCAGTGGACAGAGTTGTCTTGCCAGTACCTGCAGAAGAGAAGAGAAGAGAAGGAAACAAAGTCAAAGAATAGTGTTAAGCCAAGTGCAAAGAGGGATGCCTCGCTTACCAGAGAGGCCAAAGAAGAGGGCAACATCACCGTCCTTGCCCATGTTACAGCCAGAGTGCAAGGAGAGTATGCCTCGCTTGGGCATGAGATAGTGCATTACACTGAAGAGCCCTTTCTTCATCTCTCCAGCATATTGGGTGCCCAGAATAACCATTTCCTTCCTAGCCAAGTTTATGTCTATGCTTGTGGATGATGTCATGTAATGGGTGTATCGATTGCAGGGAAATTGCCCCGCGTTATAAATAGTGAAGTCCGGAGTACCAAAGTTCTCCAGTTCTTCAGGTGTTGGCCGAATGCACCTATACAATATCTTGATTATATACTCACTACAATAGGAGCATCTGGTTTACCACTTGAACAATTTTACCTCATGTGTTACGGGTATGTGATGTAGTTTACAGCTTAAAAGAAATGAAGTCCTATGGAGGGAAGCATTCGTTCAGTTCAGCTTCTTTTTTTCTATGTTTTTTATTAACATTCCTTAATACAGCCGTATGATGTCCTCAGATGTCTAACAGTCTAAGGTTTCGTTTGGAACGGCTTTCTTACTGATTCTTAAAACATCTTTTTGATACAAAATTTTAAATTTTTTATACTAAAAATTTGTTTTAAAAAGCATTAAAAAAACAATCCCAAACGAAACCTAAATGAGAGTGCAAGTGCAACGTCATGAAAGCAAAGGAAGTAAAAAAGACTAGACATAGGTAGAAATTTTACTTACATGTTATGCATAAAGAGGGAGTGATATGCCCTTGCAGAGACAATCCTGACTTTAATTTGATTTTCACTGTCCCAATTAAGGAACTGATCATTCACAAATACCTATACCAAATAGAGGATGACAAGCAGTTTCATCAATAAAAAATACATTTTTAAACCTCTAAACATGAAATGAGCGCGAGTATGGTAAAAACCTTATCCAAGGAATTCAGGTAATCAACAGCTCTTTCTCTGTTCACCAAGAAAGTGTGCTCGTCCATCTCAATATTGGGGGAACCTCTGAACAGGGAAAAAAAAAACAATGAAAATTGTATGGATAAATTCATATAATGCTTTGCATGCTTATGCCAGCTTCGCACGCCCACATGCGGTGCCTTCTTGGCTACTTGCAGTTAGAAATAATGTCTTTGAAAAGGAATAAATTTATTAGAATTAGGAATAAACATTAGTTTTATGCTTCATTTGGGATGACCTTTTTTTTTTAAAGCAGCTTTTTAGTTAGAAAGCTGCTTTAAAGCAACCTTTTAATTAGAAAACTGCTTTATGAAGTAAGAAATTCATCCCAAATGAAACCTTAAACTCTAAAACAGCTTCAAAATCTCTCAAATGTAATAATTTCACTATCACACATGAAAATTTGTAATCTCTACTTTATAAGTGGCCTTCTTATTGAAATTCCCCAACATGATTCATGTTCTATATCTTCAAGCAATCAAATGAGCCCAAAATAAAATAAAAAAGCAAAGAGATGTGAGCTTCTAAGGATTCTGGTCTTACTTTCCCCACCACAGCTCATCTGTTGTGTTCTCATCAATAACAACCCTCTTATCTCTGGGAGAACGACCTGTCTTTGCACCGGATAATGTTGCCAAAGCCCCACTTGATGTTATGAATGATCCATGTTCATACTTTATAGCTTGTTCATAGAGTTCTACGCAAGAAAACAATAAGGCATTCAGTGTATTGTAACAGGCAATAATTAATTGATTATAGCAGTCTCAACAGAGAAAAAAAAGGATATTCACATCAATGCCATCCAAATCAATGAATTTATATATCTAACGCCCCAAAACCATTAATTTGCAGGTACTGCATCCAAATCATTGAAATTGGGATGAAAAGTTAATAATAATAATTGACAGTTTTTTTTTTTATGAATTTGGACATTTGGATGGGAAGAAATATCCTAGCAAATTCAAAATTTTAGTAGTTATAGGGCACACCCTTTGTCTATATTTTAACAAAAGGGAGAAATATCCTGAACTCCTATTAGTATTGTGAAGTCCCCATATTCTCTGTTTTTAGCAAACTGATAGTTCATCCAAGTTGGAAGCATTTAATTGCTAGAATAGGTTACTTCATCCTAAAATTAATCTAAATCAAAATATGGCCTAAGATTTTAACAAAGAAAACGTGTGTGAAGTTGTATTATAACTTAAAACCCCAAAAGTTCCTTTCTATATAAGCCAAACTTAGCGGTACTCTTATCTCTTCATATTTGTTAGCCAACTTTAATGATATGTAGTAAATCACACAGTATTAGAGACACTTTGTGTATACTTGGCTAGGGAAACAACTTGAGCATAAAGAAAATAAGTACCAGCAGGTGAGAGGTTGTAGAGGATATGAGTGAACTTCAAGGCACTGTCACTAGTACTGATGTTTGGAGTGAAGTACTGGTGGTGTTGTTCATGTGCTTTGGGGGTTTCTAACTTCCTCTTAGGGTCTCCCTTTACCACCTTTGGACCACTCTCCCTCGTCAGCGATGCCAATGAAGCACTGTAAGGATAGTCACATACCAAAATTATTAAGATAATATCCAAAAAAATGTGAAGATTAGAACGCACAAAACCTATGTTAAAAAACAGTATACAAAGTACATGAGGTTTAAATGAAGGGGAGAAATCTCCTTTACTTAAAATTTCAAACAAGTTTTTTTTTTTTCAAACCAAGACCTCATAGAATACAACAGAGGCAATTGAAATATTGTTCTAGGCACACCGTCCACACAAACACTCCATTCAAACCCCAAAAATTATATTTGAATGCATATATATATATATATATATATGTTTGAGAAACTAAAGAGTATCAAGATTACAGGGCATCTAAAATTGCTTAATTGAGTCACCTAGTTTTGAACAATTTCTTAGCCAACTTCTTTTCTAATTAAACTATTGTGAATGAATGAACTCTAAAGTATGATATGCCATCCATTTTCTGCTTTTAGGTAAACAAAAACAAAGCTATGCCTATACAATTAGTACAAGCGTTCAAAGCTCGTTCTGAGTAATTGTGCAAACTTCTATCTCAGTTAAGACTACTTAAGAAAAAAAAGTAGATGTTGAAGAAATAAGCTAGGCCCTATAATCTTACATGCAATTTGAGCCAGCCTGATTAAACCATTCTATATGGCTAAATAAACGCTCACATACAGGGAAAATTATTAGGTCCGGACACCGGACGTAGATATACGTCTCGACATTAACTTGAAATTTGACATGTGGGCTGAGTTTTTGTTGCGCTTTTTGACTGCGCTTTGACTGTGCTTTAACTGCGCTTTTTTACTGTGCTTTACTTGCACTTTTGGTGCGCTTGACATAAAGTTCCACGGACACATTTAATTTATAAAGAAAATTTTAAATTTAATTAAATATCCACGTGTCAATATTTTATTGTCCGAACCTAATAATTTTCCCTACTTACAGAGTCACTTTCACTACACATGGACGCACATAAAGACAGATATGAATATATACACTTATAGATGCAATTTTGTTTCCCAAAAAAAAAAGGAAAAACAGATGTAGAAATTTCAAAGCCTAGCTTTTCTCAGCAAGTTGCAGACTTGCAGAGGTACTACTTTTTGACTCACGGGCTTCAGGTTATAAAAGGCTAGTGGACAATTGTCCCGTGAACAAACAAAGTGAACGGTGACCCTGCCCATTTCTACTACCGCGTGAAAACCACGTGCAAACCAGTTCTAACTTCTAAGGCAAGAAAATTTAAAGATATACTTAAATATTTTAACAAAACAACTCAATTATGTTTGTGTGTAATTAATTATTGCTACAGTTCAATCATTATTAAACTGCAATCAAACAGGCTATAATTTGAAAACTGCACCCGTTTAATGATATTCAGATAGAAGTAAATACTTAAGAAATATATTTTTTGGAAATATTTAGGTCAATTAAGACAAACTCACACACGGATTATATTTGCAAGAATCGAACCCAAGACCACCTCTTGGTTGATAGACAAAGCTCCAAACCAACAAACTCAGATGAGTTGCGTATATCTTAATTTCTAAATGTTATTATAAAGATTTAAATTTATTAAAGTAAACACAATAATATATTAACTTCTCTTTTATGTGACCTGAGCAATATCTATATGCACACAATGAAATGTGGCCAACCGGCCTCACCGGCCAAGGCACCCAATTTAATGAAAAGAGATGAATACTGATCCATTTCAAAAATACAAAGCATTCATAAAGGAGTTTAATTGAACTATGCGGTAAGGTAAAAAATTATAAATGTAGAAAGCATTAGAGAAATCACCTGATGGATTGGAGCTGGAGCCTCTGGCGCTCTTCTTCAGATATAGTAGAAAAGGCAGTGGGGGACTGGGCGGTGACTTCCTGTTTGATTGGTGTACTAGGAGCAGACCTCTTCTTTTGCAGTGAATGCAGCTCATCTATGGTCTGAGCTTTCACAGGTCGTGAACTATCGTCATGGCAGATATTGTTCTCTGCCTTATACGGCTTGCTTGCAGCCATTGTTGTTATCCTCGTCTGGATCCTCGGCAACACACCCCGTCGAGGAGGCTGGGCGCTGGCGGCAACACTGCTGCCATTAGCCAAGTTATTGTCCATGTTGCTCGCCTGGCCATCTGTTGCCATTCTCTTCAAATCTTCCTATTGTAATTCAAAACTGGTAAAAAATGCAAACAATCTTTCATCAAGGTGTGTTCATAAGATTGAAAGATGTAAATTATTGAAACAACAATTTGATTAATCAAACAATTTTAGAGTAGAGAATTTCCCCTTTAATTCATCACGATTAGGCAGAAACTTTAAGTAAATTATATATTTTTTTACTTCAAAAACTAAAGAAGAACAAATAGAAAGAGTTGCAGACAAAAGAAAGAAATAGTAATAATAACTCCCCAAACTCCGAGTTCATAGATCTCTAAAACAGAATTTAATATCTTGTTTTATTGATTGGAAACTGTTCGAACATGCTACGACAAATGAAAAAATCAGCACAACCAGCTCATCGACATGAACTTTTATTTTATTTTATTTTATTTTGTAAGAATTTTAAAATGTGAATGAAAATAACAATTTGGAGTTATGTATTTTTTGTTAAAAAGCATGACATCATAATTATGAAACAAGATGCGACAAAATCTCTCAAACTCATAATCGAACGAGATTCATAAAGGCCAAATTCGGCTCTTTTCCCACACTTCAACCATTTGTCAAATCAATATTATATATGAAAAAGCATATAAATACAAGAATGTATGCATATAACATAAATCAAATCACTCTCTAATTAGCAATAAATAGTAACTCTTATACCAAATCTTCGAAATCCTTAGTCGAGTTCTGCTCAGACCTACATCTGATTATGTAAATTTTGATCTATCAAATCAAAACTGGAAGGGATCGTTACAAGTTTCTGTATCGCGTGTGGATTTAAAATCATAAGAAAGCAACTCAATCTCACATCTCCTCCGCAGACCAAGCATCGAATTCAAATAGATCCAAAAGAAATAGTTGTCACTATCTGAAATCCGACGAAGACGATTTGCAGTCAAGTTCTATCTTCCTTTGTCTTCGTGTGCAGTACTTCGCAATTTAAAAAAAAAAAATCTAAAATTAATTTTATATTTTTGGGCATTAAATTTCATCACTGAAAAAAGATTTTAAGCATTTTGACCACCTCCCCTATTTATATGCCTTTATTTAAGAAAAAAAAGTTCATCAAAGAACACAATATTTTGGGGTAGAAAGTATCGTGACTCAATTAAGTGATTGGCATAGCATATGCAAATAGATTCAAATGGATCTCCCTTCCCTTCTCTTCCCCTGCTTTCATTTGAGTTAAAAACTTCGAATAACATCAAACTGATGCAACAACAAGGAAGAAGACGATGGCATATTGACAAACATTGAAGGATTGGACTTTCATACCTCTCTATATCCGAAGACGAAACCCTAGCTATAACTCCAAAGCCTGGTTGAACAGAAAGCTTAATGTTAAGAGAATCGTGAATGAAAGCACAAGCAGAAGAAGAGAATTACTATTACTACGACTCACTAACAAATCCCAATTCAGCCAAAGCATAAAATGAGGAACCAGAGCGAACGGAACAAATGCGAAGGGTGAGGAAGACGAGGACGGCATGGCAGCCTTTTTAAAGGCTCCCATGGCGCCTTAATGGCTATTGGCTGGCGTAGCCGCGCGGTGCAGTATTGTTCTATTCGATTATTTTTTTATTTTTTTTAAATTGATAAAATAATTATATTATTGCATTTTTGTACGAAAAAATTTTGTGCTTAACGAGTGGCATATGTTGACATCATCTTCTCACGTGATCTACTTTTTCTTATAAGCTGAACGTGTGGACATTTTTGTAAATTATAGTTTATTTAAATTAAAATGCTAAACTGCCAAACTCCTATATTAAAAAGATATTTTACTAATGAATAATTAAAACATTATACAATCATATAATATTATAAAAACTTATTACATTTTATACATTCTTTCTTTTACTTTTTTTTCTCTTAGTATAAATAAATTAAAATTTTAATATAAGATTTATATTATTTAAGAAAAATAAGTTTTATATTTTGATAAAATTTTGATGTCTTCGAATGCTAGCATATGAACTTTTTTAGAATTAATTCTATTAATTCAAATGACAAAAATTTAATCAATTATCTCTATTTTTTTATGTCATTAATATCAATTGTTTTTGGAACTAATAAGATATCTATAAATATTTATTTGTAAGCCATTTATTGTACATGATTTTAAGATCTTAAATTTGATCCATGAACTTTTTTAGAATTGCTTCTATTACTTCAAATGTCAAAAATTTAGGCTTCGTTTGGGACGACTTTTTTATTGATTTCTAAAACGGAGTTTTAGTACAATTTTTTTTATTTTTGTACTAAAACTCCGTTTTGAAAAGCAATGAAAAAGCCATCCCAAATGAAGCCTTAATCAATTATCTCCATTGTGTTATGTCATTAATATCTTTAAAATGTTATATTGTGTTTGTTAATTATGAATATTGGTAATGGTGTTTGTCTTCAAACCACTATTCTCAACTTAGAGCACACACAATCAGTGATTTACTCTTACACACCCGATCTACCATCCTTTTATGAAGGGGCTACTCCAATCACTCTTAATCATCAATTAACTCTTGATCGCCCTGTCAACAAAAGACCTGCTTCAATCACTATTAGTTACATGCCAATTTATGTGGCATAATCCTCACTCCTATCATCAAAGAGTCTACTTAGGTCACCCTCTATCACATATCAATTTATTTTAACCCTAAACTCTAATATCATTCTAGGGGATTCATTGCTTCGATAACCCTAAATCTCCAATCAAATCCTTTTCAATCTATGCTCCCTAAGGATAAATATATTATGATAGCCTAATATGGCCATCTACACAAATAACACTAAAATCCCTTTACCAACACTATAATAAATATCTCCTATTATTTGGGCAATTAGGTTTTTGGATGCATGCCAAACTATTTGTGCATGCATTCTTATAAATATTAATTAATTAATTTTTATTATTTTTATTATTTCACTTGATGCAAAAAAATAAAGTAATTCAAAGAAATGTTAAATTCATATTGCATAAGAAAGATTGTTATGCTTTATTGAAATCATACAAACCCAAAAAACTTTGAGATTAGAGAGAACTACTCATTTTCTCTTTTGCACGACATCAAAAAATTATCTTGATCGGACACAAATCTCGATGCAAAATCAAGTTGGAAGCTTCCAAAAGTAAAATTGGGATCATCCGAACTCAATTTTAGCAAACTTATAGTCGAACAGAGCATCTCGAGAATACAAACCCAACGACACCAAATCCAACCCAATCTGAGCCTCAACGGGTCCAAATCAAGGGTTAGAAGCGTTGTTGGAAGGTTCGAACCACAATTTTGATTACCAAACAATTTCCAAACATATCATGCTTATAGTCGGATCGAGCGGCTCGACGAGATGAATCAAATGAGCCCAAGAACACCGAATTCCGACATCATTAATACATTCAAATGTCCATCAAACAATCCATGATCAAGGGATTCAACATCAGCCATACATTGAACCACTCCCCATTTACCCTTGACCTCTCACCTTTTTACGTGTCATGTCACTCTAGAAATATATAAATAGTCATTCATTTCTCTTGAAAGGGGACCCCAAGCTTAAGGATTCAAAGAGAGAGATCGGAGATCGCTCTTGCTTTCTTGCTCCTCAACAACCGCTTGAGTCCGTCGGACCACCGTCTGATGTCGTTATTCCGTCGGACCACCACTTGAGGCCCCCACCTTCGCTGAACCACCACTGGAGGCCCTCAACTTCGTCGGACCGCCACTCAAGGCCCTCACCTTCATTGGACCACAACTCGAGGTCCTCACCCTCGCCAGACCATCACTTGAGGCCCTCACCTTCGCTGGACCATCACCCAAGGGCCTAAACTCTGCCAGATCACCACTTGAGGAACTGAACTCCGCCAGACCATCAACTGATGCGAGAGTTCTGCCAAGTCATTGCTAGACTACTAACTGACGCCCTAATTTTCAAATGACATCATATTTAACACTAGACGGAAAACCATATGGTTGACATTTGTAATTTGATCGCCCTCAAGGACAAGTCAGCCCACTATACTCAACTCAAATTCTAGTGAAATCTTTTTAACTGGGCTAGACCCCATGGTTTTCCCTTTTCAGAATTTTCCACATAAAAAATCTTGTGTTCTCTGTGTGTGGGCTGGATATCCATACAACACTAAGACGTATAATTACAACTCTATCGTCGCTTATATTCTAGCCCGCAACAATATATATATATATATATAATTATTGTCTCATAACTTATCTGATTAAAATATTAATTTAATTTATATAATATATAAAGTCGGCAGGAGGTGGGCTGAAATTAGTGGACAAATCAGAAAAGCTAATAGCATAAGATGATAAAATAATATAAATAAAAAAATAACTGATATAATTTAAAATTTAGCTTTGGATAGAATACCAAAAATAATAAAAAATTTTAAACAATAAATTAAAATCTTAAAATATGTGCTGTCTTAATAATTTTGATTAAGACATTTTATGAGCTTATTAGTTGAGTTAAAATAAGCTTAAATTTAATTAATAAATTCATCAAATCGAGCTCATAAAGCATTTATTAAATCAACTTAGAACAAAATCATCAATCAAATTAACTCAATTACATCTTTATGATCACATAAAAATAAAGAAATCAACATCTCAAGCAAAATAGAGAGAATAATTTTTAAATTAATTTTTTTAGATGAGTTTAAAAATTTTAAAATTATTTTATGATGCGTATAATATATATATATATATTTTATTTTTTTATTTTTTTGAGAGCGAGGTATTCACCCGCTACCACCTCGAAAGGGGGATTGACGACATGACTAATCTTTGATTGACTTATAAGAGACATCCAACGTAGAAACCTCCTGACCCGCACTTGATTGGGCCCCACTTAAAATGCGTTGCCGCTCAAGAGAAATTGAGCACCAATTTGAGGGTTGCCAATCATACTCGCATAGGGGTGTCAATTTCGGGTCACGGGACGGGTTCGGGTCGAACCCGAAACTGACCCGGCACTATTCGGGTCAACCTGAACCTGACCTGTTTTTGAAAACAGGTCAATTTTTCTGACCCAAACCCGACCCGCTTCTGGTCTAGGTCAACTCGACACGACTCGAATGACCCGTTTCCAACAAAAAATTGCTAGTTTTAAGGTAAAAAACAGGTCTCTCTCTCTTTTTCGGGTCAAAAAAGGGTATATCTCCTCTTTTTTCGGGTCAGAACGGGTCAATCTCGGGTTGCCGTGTCAAAATCGGATTTTCAGGTCAAAATCGGGTCAAAGGGTTAAACCCAACCCGACCCGATTTTTGAAACAGGTCGAAATGTTGAACCCAAATCCGACCCGTTTCGGGTTGACCCTAATACAAAATTTTCGGGTCAAATTCGAATTAGATTTTTGAGTTGTGTAAAATATTAACACTCCTATACTCCAACCAAAATAAAGAACCGTGGGTTATTTTTTTAGTTTAAAAAATTCACGAAAAGATGGCAACCATTCCTTATAATGAATTGGTGCCACCGTCTTTCTCATCCTCATCTGATCCCTCGGTTTCTACCCCTTTAGATTATTCATAATTAAAATTTTTATTAAATTTTTTTTATTAAAATAATAATTAAAAAAAGTACACAGAATCTGGCCATTGGCTATAGTCAGACATGCCTTCCTATGTGTTGAGCCTGTCCAGATATGCCTTCCTATGCAGTTTCCTTTGTATTTCTTTTAAAAGTTGGACAATTTTAATAACTTTGTTATCCTAATTAACTATTATTATTATTATTATCAAATTAATTAATTTTATCACATGTCATTAAAATTTTCTGCTTAGTATTCGTTTAAATACGGCTTTCTGAACGTAATTATAATTTCTGTTTGCTAATTAATTTTAATTAATTATTATGCTACAAGATATTTTCTACAACTTTCAACAAAACTATTTTCTCTATTTTACCAATGATATATCATAAAAAATTAATCCTAAGGCATGAATCTCGAGACAAAATCAAATTGGAAACTTTCAAATTTAAATTTGGAACCATATGAACTCCGCTTTTAGCAAAATTATAGTTAAATTGAACTTCTCAAAAATACGAACATAACGACACCACATTCGGCTTAATCCAATCGAAAACCCGAAGTGCCTTAGGAAAGTTCAAACCATAAAATTGGATGACCAAATGATTTCCAAAAATGACATGCTTATAGTCAAATCGAGTGGCTTGACGAGATGAATCCAACGAGCCCAAGATTGTAAATTCGGTTATAATTAAGACATTAAAATGCCCAATAAACGGTTCACGATGAAGGAAATCAATATCGGTCGTCCATTCAAACCACTCCCAACATACCCTTAATCTCCCTTCTATTTACATTCCATGTCACTTCCAAAAAATTATAAACAGACCCCTCATTCTTTATCGTAGGGAACCAAAGCAAAGAAGAGAATGGAAAGAAGGAAGAAAGAGAAACTAGAATTCTCTTGCCACCTGACAACTCCTCGACCACCGTTCGACCTCCAACCTTACCTGACTAT